AGAGACAGACAAAGGCACCCCCTGTTGATGATATCCTTGCTGCAGCGATGAAGTTATTCCAGAATAGTGACTCAATGGCATTCCCATTGATGGACTTGCTTGTGACCCTTTGTAATCGGAACAAAGGAGAAGATCGCCCAAAAGTGACATCTTATCTTATTCAGCAGCTTAAGCTTTGTCCGATGGAATTTACGAAGGATACAAGTGCTTTGAGTATGGTGTCACATATTTTAGCATTGCTTCTTTCTGAAGATGGATGTGCACGGGAAATTGCTGCACAAAATGGTATTGTCTCTGTAGCAATAGATATATTGGTGAACTTCAGGGCTAGGACTGAGTCAGGAAGTGAAGTTCTGGCTCCAAAATGCATTAGTGCATTACTTCTTATCTTGGATAATTTGTTGCAGTCCAGGCCTAGAGTTTCTTCTGATAACACTGAAGGAATTTCGTCAGGAGCTTTACCTGATTCATCTGGAGAGCATGCGTCATTATCAGCTTCAGAAGCTGATACACAGAAAAAACCCATTCCAGAAACCCAGGAGAAAGAATCTGAAACTGCATTTGAGAAGATGTTTGGAAAATCTACTGGCTATCTAACTACTGAGGAGAGTCATAGGGTACTGGTCGTTGCTTGTGACTTGATAAAACAGCATGTACCAGCTGTGATCATGCAAGCTGTTCTACAGTTATGTGCCCGCTTGACAAAAACACATTCTCTGGCTTTACAATTTCTTGAGAATGGAGGTATGGTTGCTCTTTTTAGTCTTCCAAAGAGTTGCTTCTTTCCTGGATACGACACCCTGGCATCTGCAATCATTCGGCATTTGCTTGAAGATCCTCATACATTGCAAACAGCTATGGAATTGGAGATACGACAAACACTTAGCGGAAATCGCCATGGTGGTCGTGTTTCCCCAAGGACATTTTTGACATCAATGGCACCGGTTATCTCTAGAGATTCGGTGGTTTTTATGAAAGCTGCAGCTGCTGTTTGTCAGTTGGAGTCATCAGGAGGGAGGACTGTGGTGGTGTTATCAAAGGAAAAGGACAAGGAAAAGGACAAATCAAAGGCATCTGGTGTTGAAATTGGAGCATCTTCTAATGAATGTGTAAAAATTCCTGAAGGTAAGACCCATGATGCACCTGGTAAGTTTACCAAAGGCCACAAAAAGATTCCTGCAAACCTTACTCAGGTAATTGATCAGCTCCTTGAAATTGTTTTGAAATATCCTTCACCTAAAAGCGATGAAAATTGTACAAGTTATTCAAGTGCTATGGAGGTGGATGAACCTGCTACCAAAATTAAGGGTAAATCAAAGGTTGATGAGACAAAGAAGATTGAGTCAGACCACCTATCTGAGAGATCAGCGGCACTAGCTAAGGTGACTTTTGTCCTCAAACTGTTGAGCGACATTCTTCTGATGTATGTCCATGCAGTTGGGGTTATACTGAGACGAGATTCAGAAATGTGTCAAGTCCGGGGATGTAATATTTTAGAAACTCCTGGACATGGTGGGATACTGCATCATGTTTTACACTATCTTCTTCCCCTGTCTGCAGATAAAAGTGCTGGACCTGATGAATGGAGAAGCAAGTTGTCTGAAAAAGCTTCATGGTTTCTTGTAGTTTTGTGTGGTCGTACTAGTGAAGGTCGTAGAAGAGTAATTAATGAACTTGTGAAAGCTTTATCTACGTTTTCAAACTTGGAGAGCAATTCTTCCAAGAGCAGCTTATTGCCAGATAAAAGGGTTCTCGCTTTTGCTGATCTGTTATATTCAATTTTGTCCAAAAATTCATCCTCCAGCAACTTACCTGGTTCTGGGTGCTCACCTGACATTGCAAAAAGTATGATAGATGGTGGAATGGTTCAGTCTCTAACCAGCATTCTTCAGGTGATTGATTTGGACCATCCTGGTGCTCCCAAACTTGTGAATCTTATACTTAAGGCTTTAGAAAGCCTAACTTGGGCTGCCAATGCTAGCGAGCAAGTCTTCAAATCTGATGCACTGAACAAGAAAAAAACTGCTGGTTCAAATGGGAGGTCGGATGATCAAACAATTACAATCGCAGTTGCTGAGACAGTAGACCCTAATCAGAATCAGAGCAGTCAACAGGAAGTTACTGATGCTGTAGATACCGAACTGCAGCAGAATCAAGGTGATCATGATGCAACTCCAAATCAGTCTCTGGAGCAGGATATGAGAATTGAGGTGGAAGAGACTATGACTGCTAATCCACCTATGGAGCTTGGGATGGATTTTATGCGTGAAGAAATTGAAGAAGGTGGTGTGATACATAATAGAAACCAAATTGAGTTGACTTATCGAGTTGAGAACAGGGCAGATGATGATATGGGTGATGACGACGACGACATGGGGGATGATGGTGAGGATGACGAGGATGATGATGAGGGGGAGGATGAGGACGAGGATATAGCAGAAGATGGTACTGCTTTGATGTCTCTAGCTGATACAGATGGTGATGATCATGACGATGCTGGTTTGGGAGATGAATATAATGATGATATGGTTGATGAAGAGGATGATGATTTTCATGAAAATCGTGTGATAGAGGTAAGATGGAGGGAAGCCCTTGATGGGTTAGATCATTTGCAGGTGCTTGGTCAACCTGGAGCTTCAGGTGGTCTCTTTGATGTTGCAGCTGAACCCTTTGAGGGGGTGAATGTGGATGACTTATTTGGTCTTCGTAGGCCTCTAGGCTTTGAACGTCGCCGGCAGACAAGTAGGACTTCCTTTCAGCGATCTGCTGCAGAAGGAAATGGTCTTCAACATCCTCTCCTCTTGAGGCCATCCCAGTCCGGGGATCTCATTTCTATGTGGTCATCTGGTGGGAATTCATCCAGGGATTTGGAACCCTCTGCTGGGAGCTTTGATGTAGCTCATTTCTACATGTTTGACGCCCCCGTTCTTCCCTTTGATCATGTACCAGCTAGTCTTTTTGGTGACCGATTGGGTGGTGCAGCACCACCGCCATTGGCTGATTTTTCTGTGGGTCTGGAGTCCTTGCGTTTGCCAGGTAGAAGAGGGCCAGGTGATGGTAGATGGACAGACGATGGTCAGCCACAAGCAGGTGGGCTAGCTGCTGCTATTGCGCAAGCAATAGAGGAACAGTTTATATCTCAACTACGCAGTGTTGCTCCTGCCAACAGTTTGGCTGAAAGGCAGTTGCAGAACTCAGAACTGCATGAGACACAACAGTCAGATGCCCCCTTAACAAATAGCCAAATGCCTGTAGATGAAAACACTGGTGATCGGCAGACTGAAGATCAACATCATGAGCATGGTGTTGAAACTGCTCATCATGAAACTAATCAAATGCTTGAAAATGTTCCTTCTCCAGAACAAGTCAACCCAGAGGGTGTTGAAGCAAATGAATGCCACCAACAGGTACTTGAATCTATGTCAAGTGATGTGATGGCTGAGAATGGTGCTTTAAATGGCCATGATAGCATGGAAATTGGGGAAGGAAATAGCACCGTCAATGAGCAGGTAGAGACAAGCCCAAATTGTGTTATCACATGCACGAACTCTCATGTTAGTCTACCGTGTGAAATGTGTCCTGATGTTCTTTTAAATCTGTCTTTTGTGTTGTTTCAGGATTTTGGTCGTGATGGATCTTCAGCAGCAGATAGCCAGTCCAGTAATTATGCATTGGTAACTTCTGGTGTTGAGATTTCTAATCAAGGTGATTGTCACGATTCTTCGGTCAATGGAAGTCAAGATGTTGATATGAACAGTGTGGCCATGGAAGGAATTCCAGTTGAGCAACCCGTACCTTCTACTGAGGTTAGCGTGGATGAACTATTGTCAGGACAGAATTCTCTTGGTGCTCAAGGTCAGACTGATCAAACTAGTTTGAATAATGAGGCTTCTAATGCAAATGGTATAGATCCAACCTTCTTAGAGGCCCTTCCTGAAGATCTCCGGGCAGAAGTTCTAGCTTCCCAGCAAGCTCAATCTTCACAAGCTCCGACTTATGCTCCACCTTCAGCAGAGGATATTGATCCAGAGTTTTTAGCTGCTCTCCCTCCAGATATACAAGCAGAAGTTTTGGCTCAACAACGAGCACGGAGAGTCACACAGCAGGCAGAAGGACAACCTGTTGACATGGACAATGCTTCAATCATAGCTACTTTTCCTTGGCTGCTTTTGTTTCAGGTGCTTTTGACTAGTTCGGAAGCAGTTTTGTCAGCATTGCCCTCTCCATTACTTGCTGAAGCTCAAATGCTCAGGGACAGAGCAATGAGCCATTATCAGGCTCGGAGCCTGTTTGGAAGTGGTCACAGGCTTAATAATCGGAGGAATGGTTTAGGGTTTGACAGGCAGACAGTGATGGACAGAGGTGTCGGAGTTACGATAGGCCGAAGGGCATCTTCTGCTCTTGCAGAGAGCTTGGAGTTGAAGGAAATTGAAGGAGAGCCTCTTTTGGATGCATATGCTTTGAAAGCATTGATCCGACTCCTAAGATTAGCACAGGTAATCTATATTCCTTTTAGTAGAATGGAGCCTAATTGGGGAAGCAGCTTACTGGTTCTGCTTATTCTAATGTGAAATACAGAAATGTAGGGTATGTTTGGTTTGTGTTTGAGAGATGTGTTTTAGAGATAAAAAGTACGAAAAGTTGTTTGGTTTTGTTTTTTTCAAAAGATGTTTTGGAAAATTATTTTGAGAGAGAGTTTTGGAAAAAGTGATTGATTTGATGTGTGTGAGAGAGAGATTTGTTTGGAAAACTTGTTTGGTTTACAAGTTTTGAGAAATTTTTTTGGAAAAATTTGTTTGGTTTGATTACTTTTAAAAACTTATTGGTAGAGAAAATTTCTCAAAATTTTTTCAAAAATACAAACCAAACGAAACCGTAATGTTTTCTTCTATTGCTTCTAATATGAGGTTTTTTTTTGTTGTATGAGGAGTTAATGAATTTTTATTAAGTTGGTTACTGTTTTTTCTTCTTTGCTGTTAGCCTCTTGGGAAAGGCCTTCTACAGAGATTATTGTTGAATTTATGTGCGAATAGTGTTACAAGGTCAATTCTAGTTTGGCTTCTACTCGACATGATCAAGCCTGAGACTGAAAGCCCAGCCAGCGGATTGACAACAGTTAATTCTCAGAGGCTTTATGGCTGTCAGTCCAATGTTGTTTATGGTCGATCTCAGCTGTTGGATGGTACTGCTTTCTTTTAATGTGACAACTTTCCGTTTGTTTTCATGTTATACACGTTGATTTCATGTAAAAAGTTTCTGTCTACAGGTCTTCCCCCCCTGGTGCTGCGCCGGATACTTGAGATTTTGACTTATCTGGCCAACAACCATTCGGCAGTTGCAAACATCTTGTTCCACTTTGATACCTCCCTTGTTCCAGATTATTTGAATCCAAAATCTTCAGAGATTAAGAAGGATAAAGGGAAGGAGAAAATAGGGGGAGATGATATATCAAACCCTTTAGGGAACTTTGAGATGGGTGATGTTCCTTTAATACTGTTCCTGAAACTTTTGAGTCAACCGCTTTTCTTACACAGCAGTGCTCATCTTGAGCAGGTAGGGGAAGCTTCTCGTTAAATTGATATATACCTGAGCCTTGTAGAGTCGCTTGACCCATGCTCTTGCTCTATATATTATATTGTTTTTATTAAATTAATTTGGTTGTCATTCATTCATTTTTGTGGTGCAGGTCATGGGTCTAATTCAAGTAATTATCGATACTGCAGCATCAAAGTTGGACCGTCAATCTCATTCTGAACAAGCACCCGCCAATTCCCAAAATATATCTCCTGATGAAGCTATAGATGGTGTTCAGAAAGATATACCTATGTCAGAAGTGGAATCTAACCAAGATGATAAGAGTGCCAGTGCTGAGTTATCCACATCAGATGGGCAGAGAAGCGTCAGCAGTTATAATATCTTCTTGCAGCTCCCACAAGCTGATTTGCACAATCTATGCAGTCTTCTTGGCCATGAGGGGTATATTATGCTTGTGTACTTATTTTTAAATGTTGCCTGAAATTTGTGTTACTTGTTTACTGTTTTTGAAGCTAGGTTAATAAAGAACTACGTTTATAATTAACTTATTTGTTAACTTTTTTAATTTGGTTTGGGATTAACTTTGTTCAATTTTAGTTGGTGGAATCCTATCCTTAGTAGCATTGATCAAAATTTTGTTTCAGGTTTTATTGTTATAAATGATTCTAGAAGTGTGCAAGTTTCCAACGAAATAAGGGCTAAAATTTGCTTGGACATAACTAATAATGGTATTACTATATTATGACTAATAATATTTATTGTAGTAAATACAAACTTTTGTATTTTTTCTAAAAAAAATTGTAAAAACATTTATGAAAAAAATTATAGATTCTAAGAAAGAAAAGAAAAAAAGTATAAATTCTTGTCAACACACCTTATTGTTTGGGTATGTTTCATTGTGTTTTCATGTGCTATGTACATATATGTGTTTGATGAAAACACAAGAATTTCATTATTCCACTAGTGATTTGTTTTGGTCTCTTACAAAACGGAAACATTTCGGCCATTTTGATGGAAATAATGGAAAATTTGTTAGTAGTCTCTGTCCATTTCCTTCCTTTCTTTGCTGCTGCAATGCAGGAATCTAACTGCAACTATTCATTCATTAGGCTGTCAGACAAAGTTTACTCGCTTGCTGGAGAGGTACTGAAGAAGTTGGCATTGGTTGTTGCCCCCCATAGAAAGTTTTTTGTTTCAGAGCTTTCAGAGCTAGCTCATAGTTTGAGCAATTCAGCTGTCTGTGAGCTCATTACACTGAGGAATACGCACATGCTGGGTTTGAGTGCAGGATCTATGGCTGGGCCTGCAATTCTTCGTGTGCTCCAGACACTTAATTCGCTTACTTCACCTAGTGTCGATGGGAATAAGGGTATTGAGGTTGATGGGGAACGGGAAGAGCATGCCATTATGTGGAATTTAAGTGTTGCACTCGAGCCATTGTGGAAAGAACTAAGTGAGTGCATAAACACTACTGAGGCAGAATTGGTGCAAAGCTCTTTCTCTTCAATTTTATCAAATGCAAATGTTGGGGAGCATGTGCCTGGGTCCTCATCTCTGTCTCCTCTTCCGCCTGGAACTCAGAGACTGTTGCCATTCATTGAGGCTTTCTTTGTTTTGAGTGAAAAACTACAAGCAAACAATTCCATCATGCAGCAGGATCATGCCAATATCACTGCTAGAGAAGTAAAAGAGTCTGCTGGGACTTCAGCTCCATCCCCCACCAAATGTGGAGTTGATTCTCAAAAAAGGCTTGATGGTGCTGTAACATTTGCAAAGTTTGCTGATAAGCATCGTCGCCTACTCAATGCTTTTGTCAGGCAGAATCCAGGTTTGTTGGAGAAATCCCTTTCTATGATGCTGAAAGCCCCGAGGCTGATTGATTTTGACAACAAAAGATCCTATTTTCGCTCAAGAATCAGGCAGCAGCATGATCAGCACCTCTCTGGCCCACTGCGGATAAGTGTTCGGCGGGCATATGTTTTAGAGGACTCATATAATCAACTGCGAATGCGACCTAATCAGGACCTAAAGAGTAGATTGAATGTACATTTCCAAGGTGAAGAGGGTATTGATGCTGGTGGTTTGACGAGAGAGTGGTATCAATTACTGTCGAGGGTTATATTTGACAAGGGAGCATTGCTTTTCACTACGGTGGGAAACAATGCAACCTTCCAACCAAATCCCAACTCCGACTACCAGACTGAACATCTTTCTTACTTTAAATTTGTGGGTCGTGTGGTAAGTTTTCTAGACCATTCATAGTATTATCTCTTTATTAGTTTAATGTAAAATTCATTTATTATGGTCCAATCCATTAAAGGTTGTTGAAGCTTTATGTTCTTTTATATTTATATTTTATGTATTTGTGATGCAGGTTGCTAAGGCATTGTTTGACGGGCAATTGTTGGATGTCTATTTCACTCGATCTTTCTACAAGCACATTCTTGGTGTGAAGGTGACTTATCATGACATAGAGGCTGTTGATCCCGATTACTATAAGAACTTGAAGTGGATGCTGGAGGTTAGTCACTTTAACAAGATCCTCCATCCAATGCTGAAACACAAATATTTTTATAGTAATGATGGTTTGCCTTTCTTGCGTTTTTGCTGTATCAGAATGATGTGAGCGACATACCTGATCTGACATTTAGCATGGACGCGGATGAGGAGAAGCATATCCTCTATGAGAAAACAGAGGTATTACTGATTTTCCTACTTATGCACTGTTCTCATTCCTATTCCATCATATTTTATTGTTAATATGTTTTACTTTGAAGTGGTTTCTGACAACTCTCTCTCTCTCTCTCTCTCTCTCTGTCTGAAGTTTTATCTGATCATCTGTTTCACCCTCTTTATGATCATACTTGTTCTTTGTAATTTACTTGTGAAAGGTTACTGATTATGAGCTTAAGCCTGGAGGAAGAAATACGAGGGTCACAGAAGAAACAAAGCATGAGTATGTGGACCTTGTGGCTGAACATATTCTGACAAATGCTATCCGCCCTCAAATTAATTCCTTTCTGGATGGTTTCAATGAATTGATACATCGTGAACTTATTTCTATTTTCAATGATAAAGAGCTTGAGCTTCTAATCAGTGGGCTTCCAGAAATTGATTGTAAGTTGGGTGCTTTTGCACTTGTTTATTTTATGTAACATACTTGGTGTATTTTTCAGAATATCTGATTGATGTTATCATGCTTGCAGTGGATGATCTGAAGGCCAACACCGAGTATACTGGCTACACTGTAGCATCTAGTGTTGTTCAATGGTTTTGGGAGGTTGTCAAGGCTTTTAACAAGGAAGATATGGCAAGATTTCTGCAGTTTGTGACTGGTACATCAAAGGTAACTGCTGCACAAACATAGAATATGGTCTCTTTTCTCACATCTCAAATTATTGATACGATCTTTATGACTGCAAGGTTTTTGTTGGCTGTGATATGTACAAAATTTCCTTCGCATGCAAGGTTTTAAAAAGCGGCCGCAACCGTTACGTAACGCTGTTACGTAACGGTTTTGGCGGTTACCGCCACCCGTTACGGCCGCTTTTGCAGTGTGAATGAGATTCACAGGTGTGTCGGTCGTAGCGACTACCGTAGCGGTCGTAACGGTGCCGTAACAGCCGTAACGGCCTGTTACGCACCGTTACGTAACGGTTCCAAACTGTTTCTTTTAAAAAAACACACAAAAAAAAGCTGAAAATGGGGGGAAAAGGGATGGAGAGAAGAGGGAAGATAAAGAGAGAAAATGGAGGAGCAAGAGATAGGGAGAGAGAAAAGGGAAGATGAAGAACATGTTATTGATTTGTTGAAACTGTAAGACCTATACTATTCTATTCAGCTGCTATCACTAAATCATTTTGTTTGTGTGTGTCTATCTATGTATTGTTTGAAAATAATAATAATAATAAGTGTGGTCATTATCTATTTGACTTGGTAAAAATATGTATATATATATTTAGACTCTTATTTATTCTCTTACTTTTGTCATTGTTTATCTTATATATAATAGTTAGTGATTGATTTTTTGTATAATATAAAGTCATTAATTATTAAAATAAAATGTAAAAAACTCAGTTTATAGTTATTTAAAAATATGAAATATATTGAATCATATTTAAAAATTTACAAAAATTGATTAATATTTATTTTTAACCCAATAAATATGATCATGGAAAAAAAATATGCATATCGGTAAGTTTTTTTCAAATTGTGCGAAAAATAAAAAAATTCACGGTTCCGGTTACCGCAACCGTTACACTACGGCCTTTACACCCTGCAACCGCAACCGCGTCACCGCCACCGTTACGGCGACCGCAACCGCTTTTCAGAACCTTGTTCGCATGTAATATATGCTTCTGCTCTAGAAATGCAATTCCATGGTTCAAACTAAGAATCTTGTCAGTACTTCGTTCCTGTGATAGAATCACAGTTCCAATTGATAGGGCCACTACATATGAGTCACATAGTAATAATGGAAAAGCTACCAATAAAAACGAAAATCTGTAGAGAACATATATTTTATTCTAGATTATCTTTCCTCTTAGGAATTAGGTGGTGGAAATATGTTGATAAATCTTTCAATTTGGGTGTGACGATTGACGATAAAGATATATGTATTGTTGCTGCATCGTTTCTTTTGTAATGAGAATGCTTATGTTGAATAGTTTTAAGTGCTAGTATGATGTAGACATTTAATATATACATATATTACAACTAAGCAACACAAATATTTCTTACAATATATTTATGTATAAAATTACAGTCACGCTCCCCTAGGTGCTCCCAACCTCAGACTTTTCTATGGGCCTCTGCTCGCCCACTTGCTTTGTGCAACTAAGATATGCTTTAGCATGCTTAATTTCTTATCATTTCTAATGGCTAGGCTATGCATTTTATCTGATTAATAAGATTGTGTTTCATTCTCTAAAAGTTGTGATACAAATATGACTTCGGTGGCTCAAAAATTGCGCCATCCTGAGAATTTATACTGAAAATTTGTGATGGTGGTAAATGAGGTCTTATTTTCTGTTACAGATGGTGATGAATGGAAAATATGGACCTCTTGTGATAATCGACATGCTTTTATGCCACTAAACACCTTTATTTCTGGTTTTTTAGGTTCCTTTAGAGGGGTTTAAAGCATTGCAAGGAATTTCTGGTCCTCAGAGGTTTCAAATTCACAAAGCATATGGAGCTCCTGAGCGGCTACCATCAGCTCATACCTGGTTAGTGCTTAATCTACTTGCTGTCTGAAAATATATTTATCCTTTCTTTTGAAATGCTGCTTAAACTGAAAATTTGTAATTTTTTTTTCCCCCAGCTTCAATCAACTAGACCTTCCTGAGTATACTTCCAAGGAACAGCTTCAAGAGCGCTTGGTCCTTGCTATCCATGAAGCTAGTGAAGGATTTGGCTTTGGTTGATTGAGAATTTCTTCATTGCATCATCACTCCAATACTGCCAGCACTTCCAATTACAATGTACATGTCAGTTTGACACCTCCTTCAATTTGCATGTTCTGATATCTATTTTATATGTTTGTTTTTTTATTGAGAACTAATAGAATTTTAGTATACTGCTTTTATTTATGTTGAGATTTGTCAATAGTAACCAAAGGAATCAGAAATGATAAATTGCGTTTAAATCATGCTATTCATTCAATTCCTCTGTGTTGAGGGAGAAAAATGGTTATAAGATTGTGAGAAATTTCATTTATGGGAGTGGTGTATTACAATGATAACATTGCCGATTGATGAAGCTAATTTGTGCATACAACTTACAAATATTCACTCTGGTTGAGCTTTTAGATATCTGAAAATTTTGAGAATTCATGTAATGGGTTCGGTGTGGTCTTGAGGAAATAAGTGATCACCTGTGGCTCGATAGATTAGAGGTTTTCCTCAATAGACTAGTGTAGCAATGCTTTCATTCTTGAGTTGGTATACATAGTGAATTTGCTGTGTGGGTGTCCTTGCCTCAACATTGTGGAAACAGGTCTTTTGTTTGAACCTTTTTTTTCAAATTTTTTTTATTGCAGATGAAGAGCATCTGATCTAGGTTACGCGCCATTCTATCATACTTTTAAAACATGATTTTAAACGTTTAATTAATTTATTTATTTTTATCTTTGCAGATAAAAGAGCGACTGATCCAGGTTACATGCCATAGGGAGGCCCGTGTCAAGATTGAAGGATTCTGTGCTGTAATTATTGGGAGTGATGCCTTAATCCACGCCTAAATGGCAGATGATATGATGATGTGTTTGCTTTTTGTTGAATGCTGGTCTCCTCAGTGTTATGGCCAAGAAACCCGATTCTTTTGTAGTTTCTTGCCATCTCTACACAGTTTCAGAGAATGCTGATAATGCCTGGGAGAAACTTTGGCCCCCTTTTGTATATCTTAGCTTTTATTTTGGTCTTTTGTTAATATATTCTTTATTTATGGATCTAGTGGCCAATTTGCATTCTGACCAGTCTTTCTGGGTTTAGTTCAGAGGTATTGACTCGTAATGGAATCCGAGTATTTGATATTTTTCTTTTCGTTTCTTCTCTCTTTGTCGTGTTGTAGGAGCTTGGTAGTTATTTGGTTAATGATTTGATACGAATAAGATAAAATCATAGTAGAGAGTTAGGGAGAGACTTTTTTTCTTTGAGAAAAATGATCAGCATTTACCAGTAAGTGTGTTATCAAGGCTCGGGCTTCTAGGTTGGTCGTTTGAGTCTCATGTAGACATTGACACGGTCATGTTATGAAGTAATTTGTATGACTCATGTACGGCCACACAAATGGATGGCGGAGATTTTTTTTTGGGTTTATGGGGGTTTAGGGTTTGGTTGAAATATATTGGCGTTGTTGGGCAATCCCAGGGTGTGTCTCTTTCGATCTCATCAATCTTGGCTGTTGCTAGCTAGTTAAGACAGACAAAGGCAAAACAAAAACAAATCGTTGTGCTGCCCTTTTTTGTTATTTTATAGATATATCTTTCCTTACCCTTACTCAATTTAGGAGATGCTTTAAATGAACCGGAATTAAAAAAATGCCAAATCACAAGAATTCAATTTTTTTAAATTTTTTATTTTGATGAGTTAAAAGTAGATCATTGGAAATGCTTTTAAATGAACCAATTTAAAAAGAGCTTGAACCAAAAATATGAGTTCAGCATGCTTGCTCTATAATAAGTATTTGGGGAATTGGGGCTTCACTCTGAATTTTAATAAAATGAAGTTCCCTTTGTTTGCACATTGTGCCGTGAATGGTACAGTACTTCATCATGAAAACATTTGTTTCGAATTATGGCACAGTACTTGATCATGAAAAGATTTGTTTCGAATTTGAATTCGAAAATGATTGAATTTCAATGAATTCTGAATTGGATATTGATTAGAAATCAAAAAAATCTATATGTAAAATAAGCTGATTAGAAATCAAAAAAATCTATATGTAAAATGCTACCATTTAAATAGGAATAATATATATATCCGATGATACACCGTCATGTTACCATTTTTAAACCCAATTGATAAATTTTGAATTAATTATTTAGAAGACTCACAGCACCATTTGCCATTGTCTATATAGATAAAAATATTAGGTCTTTTTGATGCAACTTCTAAAAAAACAGAAAGTCAATAACTAAAAACAAATTTGTCCTAATAGTTAGATTTAATTCTCATTAAGTCTTATTAAAAAAAAACCCTAATAAAATTATCGCTAAAAATAATTTTTTGTAATAACTTTTTATATATGTTGCTAAAAATTAATAATTAGTAATTTTTTTGTCATAATTTTTATAAATTGGCGTCATAACTTACAATTAGTAACGTTTTTCTGTCACTAAAACTTATAATTAATGATATTTTTGTGACAGAATTTTTAAACTATCACTGAAAATTAACAATTATTGACATTTTTTTAATAGTGTTTGATAAAAAATATCATTAATTATCATAGAACCTATTAGATAATAAACTCATCTATTAAAAAAAAAACTAAAAATATTTCCTTTTGTTTTTTAATAATTATTTTTTTCCAACTTATTTGTCTTAAAAATTATAAACAAAAATGATATCAAATATTTTTAAATAAATAATTATAAACAACACACAGTCCTAATATATAGGATAATACTATATGTATCAATTGATATACTAATTAATGTATTAATTGATGATATAACATAATTTAATTTTTTTAAAAATTTATAATATGATTAATAAATAAAATTAATAATAATGTTATAATTAATATTAATATCTATATCTATACTATATATTAAGCAAAAAGGGATTTTAATCCTAGGCCTTGTGAGAGTTCCAATCTCTCAATCTAAATTTCCTGGTTTTTTAATTTTAAAAAAAAAAACCTTAGCATTTATTAACTTCTCTAACCCCCAAGTCTTACCCTCATAATAATACTTTAATGCATTAAGTACAAGCATGAAAAAAATTCTTTGCAATCTAACATATATGAATTCCTTAAAAAGTCCCAACACATATGATTATTATCCCTCATAATAACACTTTAATGCATTAAGAACAAACATAAAAAAAAATTTCTTAAAAAGTCAAACACATATAATTATTATGAAAATATTAAATTTTAATATAATAAAATAAAAAAAAGAGACATTTAATTCATATATGTGTTAGACTTTTTTTTAAAAAAAAAAGACATTTATAAACAAAAATGATATCAAATATTTTTAAATAAATGTTTGAGATGTCTTAAATAAGTGTATTTTTTAAACTAAAAAGTTAAGGAAAAAAAATATGAATATTTGGATTAATTTTTTTACTTTTTATGAAAAATGTGTATTAGAAAATTATATAAATTAGTGTGTAGAAAAAAATTAAGATTGAGAATTGTACAGTCGTACTTTTTAATTTTTGATAAATAATAATAACTTTTTAACTTTTTGAGTAATTTTTTAACTTTTTGACTTTTTTTTCAACCGGTCAAACTTGACCTTATTTTCATAAGTATTCTCTGTATGTGCCTACACGTTGTTTGTACATTTTACATATACCAATAGAAATAATATTATATATATTAAATGATAATATGACATAATTTTAAAGGTTTTAAATATTTATAATTTGTATAATAAGTAGAGTCAGTAATAATAATATAACACTAATTAATTAGTGGTGCTACATGCATGTACTAAATAATATACCAACACTAATTATGACATTATTATTAACTCTACTCATTAATGACATTACACATACTAAAATATCTTAAATTATGTCACATCATCAATTGATATACTAGTTAGTATATTAATTAGTGCATATAACATTATTCCTAATTAATACACTAATATATATTAATTAATACATATATAACACCACCAATATTAATCGATAATACTATATGCACTAATTAATATACATATTAATATATCAACTAATATTATAATATCATTAATTACCCTATTTAATATACTAATTATAAATACTTAAAATTTTTAAAATTATATCATACCATCTATTAATATATTAATATATACACTGCATAAAATATTAATAGTAGACCCCGTTAATTAATTAATTAACACTGTATTAATTACACACACCCATACATACATACACACACAGTCAGATTTCATTTCAGACCCCTCTCTCTCTCGTATTCGTGTAATAGTCCTTTTCTGCGAAAGATAAATCTTTGCTGCCAATTCATGTCTGTATGTACTCCAATTTCTCTCTCTAAAAAGCCCTAATTTGATCCTTTTCATCTTAATTATTATGGTTCGATTTTTATTTCCGTCTTTCGATCACTTCTATATCTTTTTGATTCTTGAGTTTTTTTTTTGTCTTTGTTGATTCGATTTGGCTGTTTATTGATCTTTCGATTGCTATGGATTTATTCCTGCTATGTGTTAATTTGGATAGAAAGAGTTAATCTGAAGCTGGTTTGGTGATTAATGATGTTTCGTTGTAATGAGATATATGCGTTGCTTATATGTAGTTGAATCTCGGTTGTGGTTTGTAAATTGTGAAGTTGGCGATTGTGTGTGTGTGTGTGTGTTTTTTTTTATCTTCTCTCATCTTTTCAATTTGCTAGAATTGTTATGTGTAATTTTCATCATTTTGTTTCTTTAATATGTTGGTCTTTTGAGATTAAATGTGATTGATATGATATTGTTTGTTGTATTTTTCTGGATGGGAAACTGATGATTTTCACTATTTAGTGACTGAAAATTTAAAAATAAAAGTTCCCTACTGATTGGGTTACTTCAACCATGTTATAATAATACATTATATTTTTATAGTTACTTGCCTTATATAATGATCTGAGAGTTTTGATGATTCCTTGAGTTTTTGTTGGAGATCTTTCCTGATGTTTTTTCTTTTTGTTACACGGTATTGGCCAATTTAGCGAGAAAATTTAGACGAACCGAGGAGGGAATAGAGTGCCACAATTGACAATTCCACCAAATGGATGTTATTATGTCTAATATTCCAACTTTGATCTCTGAGTAGCAAACAAGACATGGGTTAGGTTACTTATGTCTTATTTTCTTGTATTATTATATCTCCTACTTCTTTTTAGGTTGATCTCTGAGCATTTCTGTTTCTAATCCATGCCTATATATAAGAATGTTGTTAAGTACCTTCACTTTGTATTAAAACGCTTTTTCCAAATTGATAACATCTAATTTGTATAAATTCAAAGATCTTATCATTTTGTTCCTGCATGAATGCAGAAGTTGTATACTTGCAACTGGATTATTCCTGCTACATCTTTTATTTTTCTTTTATTATTATTATTTTTCTTTTTTCGATTTTGTTTAATTTTTCTTTTTTTGATCCAAGGGAAAAAAAATTCTATAGGGATGAGAAAAAGCTTATTTTTGAGTTGGACAAGAGATAGATTGTTGACTGTTATGTTCGGGCACAATCAGAGATTTTTGTGTGGAATTAGGTTGATCAATTTAATTGACCATGAAAATCCTCTTGGGAGTTTGCACTTTGCAGCAACCAGTTGAGGGCATAACATGGGTGGTTATGTTTGAATTGTTTTCTTGAACATCAATGATCTACTTGGACTAGTTACTTCGGTGGACGCAGACTTCGCCATGCCTAGTGAAGATTTTGGGAGTTCTAGGAGTATGCTAAATCGGGGAGTGGAAGTAATTGGTTTATGAGTTATTCTGTGTGTTTTTACAAATTTTTTTTTGACCTTCTTTTTCAAATTTTTTTATTCTTTGATAAATTCAAAATATGTTGTGTGTGTGAGCATGCCTGTCTGCGGAATGCACCTCGTGCCTAGGGAAGACAAAAATCTTCATCTCCATCTCACACCTCGTAAAATTTTGATTATCGCCAAAGTTCTTTTCCCCATGGGTGGGCTGGTTAAATGATCGTAGTTATTTGAAAAATCATTTTTTTGGTGATTCTAATTTTTGATGCATGTATTGTTTTACTCGACGACTCCCAGTCTTGTATGTTGATGTTCTCAAGAAAAGGAATTGATGAATTAATGAATTGTTGTTCTATGCTTCTTGTATCTTTTTTTCATGGGTACTTTCATGGTATCAATGACCATGCAGGCATTATATTTTTCAAGTTATGGAAGAAATGCATTCATAATTTCTTATTGTTGCTAAAAGAATTTTGATGCCTAATCAAACAACCCTTTACAATAGTCCATAAACTTTGAATTTCTTTTGTTAAATAATGTAAAATTTTGAAAATCATGCCCCATAGTAAGCATGCTCTACTCTTCATGTGCCATGTTTGATGCCATTTCGCACCAAATTAAATATGAACCTTAAACGGCTTCTATTTAGTGTGTCTGATCAGTGGAACCTTAACCTTAACCTTAACCTTAACCTTTCTCATGAAAACAACAGTGAATTAGAAATTTTGCTTTGCAAGGAGTATTTGTAATTTTTTTTGGGTCTAAATTATCCATTTCCTTCTTCCCTCTGACAGGAAAAGGGACAACCATTGCCGAAGTTCGGCGAGTGGGATGTGAATGATCCTGCATCAGCCGAGGGATTTACTGTAATCTTTAATAAGGCCAGGGATGAGAAAAAGACTGGTGGCAAACCTGAGTCACCAGCAAAGGCAGATTCTAATCTTAATCATGGAGTGGAACCTGTCAAGCCTCCTGCTGTGAGTCGTTCTTTGCTTATTCACTGTTGCACCATCAGTTTGCATTTCTAATTGGCCACAAAGGCTTTGTTTCTTGGAAAATAATTTTGAATTTCAAAAATTTAGGAAAACTTACAAAACTAGAAAAAAAATTTGGAAAATAACTTTCCAGATATTGATGCTATGTGATTAATTTAATACTAACGGTGAAGAACCTTTCTCAAATCATCAGCACACAAAAGTAGCAGTAGAACTTCATTGGCGAGAGCTAGCTTTTCTTTTGCGTGTTTTTTCTTTTTCATGGGGCAATTTCATTTACATAGCTTTTTCTTATATCGAAAATGTACTGATTTACAGAAAAAATGGTTTTGTTGCTTGCAACCGCAAGCAGAATCTTGATGAGGTCGTCTCTGTGCAAGAGCTTCAATAGAAGAGCGTGTTCATTGTTCGCCCCACCATATTTTCCTAAAGATAGGAGCTGTAGAGTGATGATGGTCTTGAATCCATTTTTAATGCTATAATACTGTGTTGGTGTGGGGAAAGAGTAAAGATGAAAAAAAAAAAGAAAAAAAGACGAGACTTTATTGTATTGTGTATCTATATGTGTACTGATTTGGTGGCTTACACCATATGAAGCTTACTATTTGTTTCCCTACCTTGTGGTATGGTTTGTGGAGCTTTCTTCTCTGATTTTTTTTTTTGCCTTTTCTTTCTGAAAGAAAAAAAGAAGGAAAAAAAAAAAAAAACTCTTCTTGTCTAATTTGTTTTCTGGAGTATTTTTGGTTCATTCCTTTTCTACATCAGGACATGGTGGGTGTTTTTTGTTTTCATTTCCTGGAAACACAGATTGTGTGTTGGTGGATGTTTTTTGTTTTCATTTTCTGATTACACAAATTTGTGTGTGGGCGTGTGGGTGAGTGACTCTGTATGTTAAATTTGTGCCCATGATTGTTGACACCATAATATGCTTGATCATGATTACACATATGAGTGATATTTATCTAACGGAAAATGCGCTAGACCCCCAAGTGGGGATGACCCCCCCACCTCCACCTCCACTGTTTTTTGATTGGTCCATATATATATATATATTTTTATTGTCTTCCACTTGCAGCCTCCCACGTGGAGGTGGGGGGTGCTGGGGGTCACCCCCCACTGGGTCCCCAGCATGATTGTTATCTAACAGCCCTTCCTTCTCTTGGGTGGCCAACAAACCAATAGTCAACCACGAGGAACAGTCGCAACCATTTTAGTGCCTGGACCGCCATAGCTATAGTCCCATTGTCATCGCAGCAATGCCAAAATGATTACAAAGTAAGCTATGGTTTACTGATATTTTACCCAGGCTGGTTTTAAGTGCTGAGAAAGATGTAACACAGAGAAACACCAACAAACTAGCAAAATATTTAATGATGGTTTTCTTAATTTAATCATCGGACAGTCACAAAGCCTCCATTTTAAATTACCAATGGTGACCCTATACATAAATCTTTAGAGAAGGCACAACAAAGCTCAAAAGTTTTGGTTCCAAGGTTCTACAACAATAAATATCCAAACACTATACTAAACCTAAACTCTGGACATCCCCGTCTTCCGTTCAAAGAGCCGTTGTAAAAGGTAAACTTGGAGAACGCTAGCCCCGATTAGAGCAACTGATTCGTAAAAAGCTTTGTGAATTGCCCGCTTGCTCATTTGTTCATTCACTGCATTCCAATTTGAAAAAGCATAGTCAAATTACATAACAATCAACTTAGTTAACTATGCAACCATGTGTCTTCAAACAATTTCATCCAAAAAAACTGATATAATCATAGCAGTCTACTCTAACAAGCAATAGTTCATATTCCTTTGTGTTACAAGTTTTTCTGAGCTTTACAGACAATTGTATCCCTTCATCCTATCAAATTTGAAGATGAACGGTGGGTATTTTATCATAAATTAAAATAATTTCACAAATGCACCTAGCTCTTTGGAGATTATAATAGGAAGAAGTTGACTCAGCCTATTCGAGAGGGACTTCATGATCACCTTGTAACTAAAATTACATAGACTGATTGGCCTGAAGACACATTGTATATAACACCAAAGTCAACTAAAAGTTTATCTCAGCCCCTCAGACAAGTGTTTGATGGTTATATAAAACCAAAATGGATTAAAGTTTGTTTCACCCTCATTCGTTGTATGGTAACATATCTTCCCCCTGGGATCCAGTGGTTGCACAGGAAGCTCGACAAAGTTTAGTTAACTTTCTAGCACAGTTAATTAGCATCAAACAGAGTTTTGGTATGTTCATTAAGCACAAACAAACATGGCTTTGAGCATGCTAAACTAGAAAATTCAAAATGCTTCAAGAAATAATGTTCTTCCTATCAAAATTTTTTGAAGCAGAACAAAAACTGACGTAGTGAAGTCCAAAATGCCAAGAAATGGGAAATATGTTAGTGTAGAGCCAAAATTAGCATGAAAATGCATTTAGTGTTCTAAGAGATACCTATCGCCTGGCGTTCAGTCTGAGCCTCTATCCAATGCTGCTCAAACTGAATGTTGTATAAAGCCTCCTCCAACTTCGATATTTGTTCTAACAAAGGGTTCAAATGCTCTGCAGATGCACATGAAAGTCATGATAAGTTCTACACTTAAAAGAGCTCACCAGATCAAGAAACATATATAGTACATAAAAAGCATGGGAAAATGGCTTCACCATCTTTTGCATGCTGATCATGGTATGAGAAGTGGGCTTCATGCACATCAAAATCGACGGTTTCATGATAAGGAGACTTGTTAGTGAAGCAGAAACGGTGGATTCCACTCTGATGAGCCACAAACTCGAACTTCTCACTCGTCTTGTCACGGAAATCATGAATCTGATTACCGGAAGGTCCCTTCACCTGATAATCTCAGCAAATTTGCAAGATCAGTCATGCTTTTTTGCAGAAAAAGAACCAATACATGCATAAACCAATTAGATTGCCCGCATAAAATTTTCCAACAAAAGAAAAAGAATGGAGATCCACTCAATCAAGCAAGCTTTCCTTTTACTGCAAAGATGACTAATATAAGAAGTTACTATATGTTTCGTCCTCATTAGAAACATTAGTTTGTTATTTCACTAATGATAAAGAAGTAACATAGAATACTAATGATAAAGAAGTAACATAGAAGACACTTAAAACTGATGTTTACTATCTGGATTTGTATTAAAAAAAAAAGTGGGAATGAATGGAATCGTGAAATCGAATGGTCCCAAAAGGGGGCCGCTGGTTCAGTGATTAAAACTCAGCCTATCAACCTTGAGGTTGTTGGTTTGAACCTTGAGGTTTTACAATAGACCTTTCCAACTTTCCACAACTTTTTGCCACCAAGTTCAAAGATCTGTTTCACATCAAGTTTGAATCATTCAAAACATATAATACTGAAAATAGCAATGTCTTCGAGAACACATTCAACTAATTTGTGTTTAATGATGATTAATTTTCATCCAGATCAGGAATTTCAAATTCATGCTATGTTTGGATCTATTTCACTCATTTTTCCCTTCCCTTTAATTTCCCTCGACAAATTCAAGATCCAAACAATGCCTTAGGGACCAAAACCATGACATTTCTAGCAAATTGTCAGTCCTTCATTCCATAATAGCTAGTTTATCAAACAGCTTCTTTTATGAAAATCCAACAAATAGCTGTGAACTAACTACATAAACCCAACTGGGTAAGAATTTTGTGGTTTACACAATCAAATACCAGAAAAAAAAAAAAAATGTAGATCTTACCACAAGATCAACCCCATCTGGAGCATAATGCCATGATCCCTCGGACTTAATTACAACAAACGATAAATGAACGGTGTCCCCATCGTATTCCACATTGTGCGAGAAACATTCCTCCCTATCTATCACAAATCTGATCCCAATCACCCCTCGAATGCTCCATAAAATTGCCAGTGTTGCAACCATGGCGAATTCAAGGTACCATGTTTTCATCTGAATTAAAATTCAAATGTGCACGAAATCATTATTCATCACAATGCAAAACTACTTTCACAAATTGACAGGGTAAAAAAAGAAATGGAAAGAAAATTTCGCAATCACCCTGTTTGTTTCCGGAGAAAAAAGAAAAAAAGAAAAAGAAGAAGAACTTTTCTGAAATTCGACGGAAAAGAAAATGGAATTTGAAATCATGAAAAAAGGGAATTGCGAGAATTCGGAGGGGGGAGAAGACAGAATTTACCATTTTTGTATTGACAGAATCTGAGGAAGCGAAGCTGATCTATATAGATGTTATATAGATGTATGTAATAGAATAGATTAGTTATGGCTATGTAGAGAAGAAGGTATTATTGAAGTAATAGTTGGAGATCGAACAACGAAGACGAACTGTGTTTAATCTGTTCCCGACTGTGAGATTCGACCCTTTGTGATATTTGCCTTCAAAATGTGTTTGTGTTTTGTTGAAAATATATATATATATATATATATATCCTAAATAAGTGTATTTTTTTTTTTTAGACTAAAAAATTGAGGAAGAAAATATGAATGTTTGGGTTAACTTTTTAACTTTTTATGAAAAAATGTGTAATAAAAAATTGTAAAAATTGATTTGTAGAGAAAAATTAGGATTGAGAATTGTGCAGCCGTAATTGTTGAATTTTAATGAATAATGTTAACTTTTTAACTTTTTGAGTAACTTTTGACTTTTTTACAATATTTCACACTTGGCCTTAATACTACGACATCATCCCTCTACCCGGGCCCAGTAATACAAAAATGAGTGAGACCACTACAAAAGAAGCACTAATAACTCTAAAGTGGTGTGGATCTCACATGATGAAATGTTTTGCTCTTGTGTTTTTTTGTTTTTTGAATTTCTACTTCATTAGTGGTCTATTAATACTTTCAAATTAATGAGATGAATCATTGTTGTCCAGTAATATATGTATTTTTTTTGGGATAAATTACTTACCCTCACACTCTTTTGAATTTAATATAGGAGTATATCTATTGACTGTTGGGAAAATATACTAATCATTCTTTTATTGTAGTTATTTAGACGAAATAAAAAAATTAAATTTTTTTACTCTCTCTTTTTTTTTTTTTTTACTTTATTTTCTTTATTTATTTATTTTTTCTTTCAATGTATTTTTTTTTTTTTTTTTTTTGGGAGTTGCCTTTTCTTTTCTTTTTTTTGGGTTTGTCTTTTAGTTTTTTAGTTTTGGTCTGGTGAGTTTTTAAAAAAATTATGTCAAAATTCTTTACGTTTTAGATTTGTCTCAACTAGATGATGACTTTTAAAATTTTAATTTTTTTTTAAAAAAAAATATTCAAAAAGATAACTAAGACAATTTTTGTGAGCTTGTTTTGATAAAATTTGATTTATTTTCAATTTTTTAAAATTACCTCAATTTTTTTTTTTAATATTTAGATTGATCTATTCAAGATAAAAATATAAAAAATTGACCAAAAGTTGAAAAAAAAAAAAGGAAAAGGCAAAATAAGTCTCCCAAAAAAAAAAAAAAGAAAAGGAACGGGCATTTTTAGTTTTAGCCAAATGAAATTTTGGATCTTATAACTAAAAATTGCATTAAACGTTCGGATATGGATTCCCCCAAAAAACAAAAGCCTATAAACAAATGGGATTGTTTGTAAGTATTTTTTTTGGTTGAAAACTTGTATAAGATTGCATAGTTTCTATGTATAAATTATGACGTATAAATAATTTATTAAGCTAACAAGGTTTTAAAAAATAGATGTAACTATTATGTAATGCTGTTACGTAATGGTGGGACCCCCTGTTTTTTTTTTTTTTTAAACTACCCATACATTCTGTCTGCTAAGTCGTCAAGATCTGCTACTGAGAGTTGGTCGTAAAAGTCATCCCCATCTCTCATGGGTGGTTCATCGTTCCATTCTTGATCATTTTCTCCCATCACTGGTGATTCATGAGAGACGCCATGCTGGTAGTTCGGGTACTGACTTTCATCGACAAATGTCTCATTGCTGAATGGATATCTTGGGATGGCCAAATTACAATGTAACTTTTGATGTCTATCTTCACAGACTAGATGTCCATAATTTCCATTATAGGCTAAGAGAGAGTTTCTAGCAAATTTTCTCCATTTATTGAGCTGGTCTTTGAGTGAAAATCTTCTGCATGGCCAGGGTCTCCTATTGAGAAGTCCTGGGTATCTCGGAAATGTGGAGGTTCCTCTGAGGTACAATTTGTGTTTAGTTGGATTGCACCATATTTCCTTCCACTTTGGTAGTTTGCTATCTATTAAAGCTTCCACATACGGATGATGTTCTTCCATTACGCACAGTACTGCATGAGCAAGCTTGTGTCCAAAGTTATCTGTCTGATCTGGATCTGTGAAAATTAGTCTAAAGACAAAGCCATAATCTAACAATTTTGGAGCTGTTAGATAACGAGTTTCGCCCCTAATTTCTATCTCCAGCGGCTCAAATGTAGCTAAATTTATCTAGCAAAGGCAAATGCTGAAGTCTAGGTTACACTGACATCTACCAAAATGTTCTGACCTCTTATTGCATCTTTCTTCGTCTAGGCAGGGTTGCTCTTCATCTTCATAGGTATAGGTCCATTGGTAAGCTAGGCCGGGGCAGTCAACTCTTGCTATGGAGAGATCTTGAAGAAACTGCTGAATAATGACTAACTCGTCGTTTCTGCTATCTCCAGCTAAGGTATAAATATAGGGTTTTAGGTCTTCCATTACTTGGCTTTTCTCACAAAGGGATCGAATGATAGAATGCCTGAAGAAATGCATTCTAGCACTCAATTGGTCAAATTCCTCACTGGTGAGTTGTTTGATTTCTGGGCTAGGTAAGGAGGTAGGTGTTTTTTCTGGAGCTAATTTTTTAAGCTGGTTGGTTAAGGTTCTAATGGTTGCTCTCAATTGCTTTTCTTCGTCTCGGAGCTGGTCTAGCTCTTCACTGACCTTCTTGCCTTTATCCATAATTTTCTTGAAATTTCTGGAAAGACCTTCACAATGTCTGCACATTTGGAG